TGAAGCCTTTGGTCGTGGGATCTGCTTCGTTCCTGGATTCGGGGCTTGGCTTTAGTGCTTCTGATCCAAGATTGCCCAGTGGAGAAAGGCTACAGAGCTGCCACGGGTCTTCGACAAGGCAGGGCGTCTTGCACTGCAGCAGGGCATGCTGACACTCTACCATTCCCCTCCCCTCGCGCACGGCATTGAGCCAATACCAGAAAGACAGTTTGTTTATCTTTGGCGTTTGTCAGCACGGGCTGGATGGTGCAGAATGCTGCTTCTGTCGAACATGTCGTATACGCCTTTGTGGCTTCCAGATGTTTGTAATTGCTTCAATGATGGGTGGCAGGTTCGTGTCGTGGGCTACCCGGTCGGCCAGGTTCTCAGAACTTGCCTAGTTTTGCCCAGCGTGTGAAGTGTACTCCCCTCCATGACTCCTCCCATTGCTAGCGTCATGCCACCAGAGGTCTTTTTCCAGGTTCCTCCCCTTTTCGCCATTTTTTTCGTACGTGCAAGCAACATATGGCAAAACGCAAGTCTAGACTATATGCGACTTGCCATGAGGAGCTATGTCCGCAACCATGTCAGCTCTTGGAAGCGTGGGGGATCATTCGAAGCCACCTGCCGACTGAAGCTGAAACCAAAGCCCTCAGAATAGAGTTGGCAGCAGCCTAGTCCAAGCTCTGCTGCATCACCGTTGCCCTGCACACCGTATGCGACTCCAATTCGCCAACTGGTACAATTTGGTACAAAAGTATGGTTTGTGCTGTTGCCTGTCGCCCCTGTTGCCACACGCTCAGTCATTGCCCGAAATGGTTTGAGCAAGGTGGTGATGCTTGCAGTGTGACGGAGGGCGTCGTCAGCCGTGTAGAGGCTGCTAAGCACCTTGTTCTGCTCAACCCTTTGCCCAAGATTCGGCATGCAGGTTCAGGAGTACTCGCATTCCTTGCGATTTGGGCCTCTGTCCTACTGCTAATGGGGAGGTTGGTTGTGGTTTTTGAGAAAGCAAAATGACTACTTTCGGCACAGCTTGGCCACTCATCCAAGGCTCGCTCTTACGGTCGATGCTGCCATTAACAGCCCCCGCCTCACTGAAGGTCGTTCGGGAAGATAAGCAGCTTTTCACGCCGATCGGTTAGGCGGCAATAGCGGAGGACCTCTAGTGGATGCATCCACAGCACACGTCTCCGTCTCAGATGCCGCAGAAGCTACATCCAAGTACGCTCTAATCATTCCCGTCCATCTAACCTTAAACATGTGCCAGCCCTGCTGAAACTTGGCAGGTTCTTGTCCCGAACAGGCTCTTGTATGCAGCATGTGTCGAGCATGATCTCGGACTGAGGTGGTTGGCGTTGCTTTTCAAAAAATGGTGGGCAGAGGTGTGGAGCTCCAGGCAGAGTGACCACCCTGCCATTACACTGTGGCTACGCTGCAGAAGAAGGTTTGGGGTTAAAAAAGTTTAGGTTGCCTTGCAGGGGCACGCTGTTCCGTCGCCCGTCATTCAGCGATTCCTGGAGGATGTCGCCAGTCATGGCCCCTGTGACCAGACCTTTACGCAGCAACATGCATGTATTTAGATGTATGTGCATGTTTGGATATCTCTGTATATCTAGATGTATGTGTATCTATATATTGTATATAGAAAAATGTGGTCCCCCCCCCCCCCCCCCCCCAAGATCTACCGTTATGGTATCACTCCCCCCTCCCCTCCCAGGAACCCACGTCTGGACATGACATTGACGGTCATCTGGGAAATACATTCTGAAATACTGAATTTCAGTTTTTTGGATCCAAGATCCATGATGCAAGAGTGTCAGATCTGTTGAAAGCAAGTCTTCAAAAACAAATCCTATTTCCTCTTCACTAAACGCTAAAGAGCGGGATCTCCAAGTCTTGTTGCCCTTGCGTAAACCATAAAGCAGGTGGCTCTCCCGAAAGCGGAGGGATCCCAAGTTTTCTTCGTCTCTAAATCCGAAATCATAAAGAGGACAGATGTGTGCCCCCCACGAGGCGTAGATCTTATTCGTTTTTTTGAGCAACGATCTTATTCGCTAAATCCTAAACGAATAGGGGATCCCGCTCTCTAGGATTTAGAGGCTCAAGAGAAGAGTCTTTGTTATTCCGAAGGGGGAGTCCTTAAGAAATAAAGGCTAGATCGTATGGGCCACGCCTATAGTGGGGGGATCCCAAATCTACGTCTTAGTCCCTAAGTCCCATTCTCTAAATCTTAAGAAGGGATCCCTAAATCCTAAAGAGGAGTTTTTTGTTCCCCGCCCCCCACTGGGGCTCAAATCTGGGATTTTCTGCCATGAACATATCGGCCCACTTCTGCCCGAATCGGCAGCTGAATCGTATTCGCTAAATCCTAAACTAAACGAACGGCTTCGGGAAGAAGTCATAGGTAGTACAATAATACAGGGAATAAGATTTCGGGATCCCGCTTTACAAGATCTACGGAATATGTTTTTTTGCAGTGTTTAAGGGCTCTCCTGGGGACTCCTCTCTTCAGGATTGAAGGAGCCCTTTCTTTAAATAGGGCTTCGGGAATAGGACTTCGATTTAAGGATCTTGCTCACCTTAGGAATTATGGACCACCAACCTTGTGGTTTACGCAATAAAATTTGGGGAGTAAGACCAAAAGAATACGATTTAGGGAACAAGACTTAGGGATCCCGCTAGGTTAAGCGCAGAGGACTTAGGAAGCAGGATTTGCTTTTTTTGGATGTAGGGGCTCTCCTCTTTAGGATTTATGGATGCCCCTTTTTAGGGCTTCGGGAATAGGATGAAAGGAATTAAAGTCAGGGAATAAGATTCAGGGATCTTGCTCTTTAGGATTGGCGGGAATGGGCCAGTTTGTTTTTTGGATTTGATGGCTCGCCTCTTTAGTTAGGACCAGGGATCTCGCTCTTTAGGATTTAGCGACAAGATTTAGGGAATGGGGTCAGTTTTTGTTACTGGTAGATTTGATGGCTCTCCTCTGTGGGATTTACGGAACCCTCTTTAGGGCTTAGAGAGCAGGACTTAGGGAATATACCTTTCGGGAAATATGGGGAGGGAATATGCCTGTCGGGAATAATAGGGAGCCCGCTCTTTCGGATTTAGCGAAAGGGGATTAGGGACCCCGCTCTTTAGGGTTTAGGGAATAAGATTCGGGGAGAAAAGCTAACGGAAAAAGAAGTAGGGATCCCGCTCTTTAGGAGATTTAAATGCTGCAAGTCGGAGACTTTCCCGTCAGGGGTTAGTGTAGGGGTTGGGGTTTGGATTTAGGGTTTGGGGGTTAGAGTCCTGGGTATCCGTGTCTAACGATGAAGATACGTAAAAGTTCCAATGGTGCTCACGTTTGCACGGAGAGTTGTGGTGGCCGAGGCACTGTACCGGCACCCCAAGCCCTTTTGGATTTTAGGTTTGAGGAGGGGGAAAGCGAGGGGTGCTCAGGTATTCGGATCTAGGGGGGGAAGCATATATGTATGTATGTATGATGCCGGTGCGGTAGGGTTTAAGGTTTAGGGTTTCGGGTTAGGCTTAGGGTGAGCAAGGTTTAGGGTTTACGGCGAACCGACGGCGGGAGATGGTACCAGAACCTACCTGTTTACTACTTTCTACTGCTATACGACACGTTTGAATATATCCTATAGATTGATGGAGTCCGCACAGACCCGATTCAGGCCCGATTCAATTAATCGGGCCCCGCTGTGAAGATTGAAGATTCCCAGGAAAAGTTTCTGGGAATCTTCAATCTTCTATCTTCAGTTTCAGGGCCGATTAAAATTGACTCGGCCCGATTCAACTTGAATCGGGTCCATCCCTGTTATTATAAGCGGCATTCTTGTCACGTCCCGCTCTTGTATGGCTGAGCAATCAGCTTCTATCTTTGGGACATAAGGCGGAAGTACTGTCGCATTAACGTCAATTTCAGGAGCAAGCATTTTGACATACATAATCCCATATATATATATATATGTACGCACACACACTCTATACAATGCAGTATCACCTGCATCTGTGCTCAATGTGGCTTCCACTTGCGAACGGCTTAGGTGCAGAATCGAAGGATGGCGTCAGCTCGAAAACAATCCGCTTGCGAATGCCCTCGCTCGGTTTCACACTTGGCCTGGGATCTTTCAAGCAGGTAGCCTTAAGCGGCGGTTTAGCAGAAGAGCAGCCACTGGAGCATTTGATTTGGGAGTGGAGGTTGCGACTACCAGTCGTTGGAGCCATCTGCATTGCGTGAACATCTCAAGTGACGGGCTCAGATGGCTTCATGCATGCCTACGCTGCTTGAAAGCACCACAGATGTCGATGAGCTTGTTGCAACACGATGCCACATGTTGCAGCTGCAGGTTGGGTGGTCGCAGAGGAATTCTTGTCAGCAGGCTACACAGTGCTAGCTACTCAGCCAAGTGCAGGCCAAGCGATTCAACTAAAAAAGAGTGGGTTGCTTCTTCCTGGCAGGCAAGCCATACTGCACCTGCCGATGTCTCAACTGCTGATGTACAGCGATGCACGGCACATCACCTTTAGCTTGGCCACCAGGCTTTGAAAAGCGGTGATGTGCTGATGGCTTTTAACGGCTGGTAGCCGAGATGGTGTCAGCAATTGAACCACAGAACACTTGTGAGGTAGGTTCGACTTCTGCAGACGAGGCTTTGATCTAGATGAACTTGGGTTTTGCAACCTCTTCGGCTGCAGCCCTGGAGGTTTGTGCGCACAGTGCTTGGCATCGTGACACTCATGCGAGAGACTCTTCCAAACACACCTACTACCGGTCTGAGTGTAGCCTCCGTGGCGTGAGTGTAGCCTCGCTGGCGTGCATCACAAAAACAGGCCTTTTTCTTGATAGCCGCGTGGCAGACGCTCAAACATGCTCCGACTCAAACGGGACCTCCGCTTGTCGGGCCCATTTTTTTGGGCGTCAATATGCCATGAAGAATCAACGAATCCTTTCTAGTCAGTCCCGGCATATATAACATTATTAAACATTCTATGCAGCTTCAAATTAAGTTATGCCCTGCTGGCCCGCTTCTTCCCCAAACAGCGTGTCAACACTGAGGACAATTTCCGAGCTGAGGCGTTTTGACCCTTGAGCCCAAGACCGATTTGTGTCCTTGAAGCCTGAGAGCTCTCCTTTAGTGATGGATGCCTGCTTCGTGTTCAACACTCCGCACTCCTTCTGAACCCTTCAATTGCCACTGCGAGCATAGATCGACGTGTATATAGGAAGACCTACAGGAGAGGTTGATTTTTTGCATGCATGATGCACACTTGAGGTGACTCAAGTGTGCAAGCCTCTAAGCGGACTCCTGCTGTGCAGTTTAACGACACGGGCCTAACAACTTGCCAATGCGTCCCAAACAGACTATTCAGTTGAATATCTCGAACGTATTGCAGCTAGAAGCCTTGTCTTTAAGTCCTAACCCTATGACACCATACAACCACTATGAGGCTTTTCTTGGGTTCACTGCGGTCACAAGCGGTAATCGTGCCTGTCTCGACTCATGCACAGGTGTCCAGCTCAAGATCCGACGAGCAGTCCAGGGCCAGTCGGTGATACGCACGTCGAGCAAAATCTATCGCAGGATTAGGAAAAGGAACTTGTTGAAGTTGCTGCCGGGGCCAGCATTGCGGGATCTGGAGAAGGACTCTATTGGGACTGGCCTAGACTCGCTGGTTTGTTTTTGCGCCACGGGCTGCCCTTTCCTCTGGGCACAGGACGAAGCAGCAATTTAGATAGGCGTGTTTGCTGCAGACGCCTGTGAGTCCCAGATAAACCAACTGCGGGCGCTGCTAACCCCAGGATACTCCCAATTTGCACATCTCTCGCCGTGAACAAACAAGCAAACACTTGCCACCTTACAATTGCACTGCCCAGTGTCACGGGGGTGGGGGGGTTCTTTTTGGTTTGTTTTTTTGTTTTATCGACCCACCCCCTTGTTTCACATGAAGCCTGTGCAGCCAAACCCCATTATTCGCGCGGTGTTTGCAAATGGGGTGGCTGCGCCATCCAGAATCCCCCCCCCCCCCCCGGCTTGTTTTAAGCCGTGCGAGCTTGCTTCACAACATCTGAATCCTGACCAGACACCGTCATGCGAGCATTGTGTTGCCCCGCAGTTTTACAGCCGTTCGAGTTTGCTGCAAATCATATGAATCCCATCCAAGCCCCACCAGGCGAGCATCGTGTGGGGAAAAGAGGGGGGGGGAGGGGGGGGTGGGGTGGGCGGCTGTTCCAAACCCCAATATGCGAGCATCCACCAACATGGTACCAGAACAAAAGCAAGCGCGGCGCGAACTGGGTTGCTCGCATATATGCTTTTAGCCTCTTAACAACCCTACAACCCCTTAGCCCGCAGCCCAAAAACAAGAAATACATGCCTTGTATTGCAAAATCCCGTGTCAGGACACCCAAAAACCAAAAAAACAACAATACCTAGCTCCGTGTCACACCAGTACTTGTGAGAACCTTACAGGTACCATGTTCAAGGAACTCGTGACAACACGCGTTTTCTGCTGTGCTGCTGCTGCTGCTGCCGCCGCCACCGACGCTACTGCCGCCAATATCTCGCCTATCCCTCGGCACACTCCCATGCGCCACCTTCTTTACACTTGGTTCATCTCTTTTGACGTCACCTAGGCTTGCAACTCGACTCAAGATCGATATCTCGAGGGTCAATCGAAGACAATGCAATAATATCACTGTCGCTATCTTAGATGACGCTTCACAGGACGCACTTGCGGACTCGTGTGTGAGACTCGTCGCATCCTTCATTCACCATCTTGACACCGCAATGTATCTATGAATCTATCAAAACGGACAATCTGTGCCAGCCACTGGCCATGGGCCTGGCTAGACATCGCAACGCCTTGTAAAGTTCGATTCGGTGTGCGTTTTGGTCTTTGTCTTTCTCAGTAGCTACTCCATGGGACGAATGTGGACCCACGCAAAGGACGGCGGCTGCACTTTGGAGCTGCCCGCGATCTTTGCAAGCACCCCGATGTTCGGACGCAGCATCCAAGACTCATAAGCTGATTGGTTGCTGTATGCATAGGTCGAGTTGGCACCACGGTGTCAATGAGGATATGGCGAGCACATGCTGAACATACAGTCCAACAGGCAAGCACTGGCTGGACAGTTGCTTGTCCAGGGTCCAGAAGTCAGAAGTATGCGGTCGGGCTCGGAGTACAAGTCTAAAGGTTGGAGCTTTCACGGCTCGCCACGCTTCACTTCACGTAAACCATGGCACTAAAGAGATTCCATGCCGAGAGCCAACATGGGTTGGTGAGGAACACACTAGAGGCCCAGACTAAGCGCTTCAAGTGCTTGGACCTAGTAACCGGCAGTTCCATTGTCACAACGCTGCACAATGAACTATTGAAGCCAGCTCCTCCACCGTGCTGAACCAATCAGCGGGGCAGTATTGGGTTCGCCAATTGCACACTTGCGGACGCAGCAAGCTGGACGAAATTTATGTCAGCATTCAAAAAAGTTTAGATTTCTTTTTTAGTCGCGCGAACGGCATCACTGGTGTGCACAGAATGGTTTGTCAAACGGAGCACATCGCATTCTGCGAGAAATGTGAACTGACAGCAATCATTTGCCAGATGCTGCAGCCCGCACAGCACTTGGTGCCTAGGCGCTCAGAGTAGCGAGCCATTTGTGAGTCACTTGGGAATCGATTACTGTCACCATTGTTCCTGATGCAGGGGTCAATTCGATGTGCGGCCGCGCTTCTTCATGGTTGGCGGACTGGTGTTCCAGCCGTTGAGCCGGTAGCTTAATTACAGATCAGAGGCATCAATGCCAGAAAAAAGCATGCACACCCCATGGCTGACATCGTTGCTGAAAGCTGAACATACACATCCACAACGGGTTGCAAGCCGCAAAACTTGGATTAGAATCATTAGAAAGCCTCAAGCGACGCAAGAGGCCTAAGCCTCGAAATCCAGAGCCTGGGACCAGGAGGCACAGTAAAGAGGGCCATGCATGGCCCTGCAACATTTTTTTCAACGGCTTCTGGTCGCACCCCCACGCAAGCTATGGGAGTTGAGCGTGAGTTGTGTCTTGCTTTGGCAGTAGTAGAGTAGTAGGGACAAGGGCTGGAAAACAGCGAGCTATTCTTTCGGCGTGGGGCAGAGGGCGGGATGTTGTTCCTTTCACAAAGTTTGCCATTCTGGTTTGTCGGCAGGTTCGCGTGCGTGTCATTATTTGCATCATCGAGCGTCTTCCTGCGCGTGCCTTCGGCATCGTGCCCCCTTCATTATCACTTTTCCAGGTGGGCATGCTCATTCTCATCGCTTGTTCAGGCGGTGGTTGTAGCTTGCAGCGCTTGCTGTCATCCATCCATGTCGATCGGCCCGTAAGCAGTGTCAGCTCTAACGCCACTCTGGTGCTCGCGCTACTCCAGAAGCTGTGGTGAGTCCTGTGCAAGGTTTCCTCATCTCTGCTCTGCTCCTTGCACTTCTTGTTGAATCGCCACTCGCTTTCTCAATCGCCTCGGTTTGCATGTTGAAAGCCTTCGTGTTGTCCATGGCCCGGTTTCCTCGAACTCGCCATGCCAGTGGCGGTGGCGCAAACATGGGATCCATACCATACTCCACCACCTGTTGTCCATGGTGGTGATGTCATCGAAGGTCTCCTTATCCAACGGCGCGGTCAACTCTGTCATAGTCCCTGGTAGTGTCACTGGCAGCTCAAACTCGTGGTGCAACCTTTCAGGTTCCGAGGCGAACTTGAGTTGCTCCACAGAGGCCTTCAACAACCGATTGTTCCTGACAAGCCAAACTGCGCTGCTTGGTCGTCGAACTTTGCATTCATCGTTGCGTCGAGTTTCTGGGCCAGTATCCGCGCCGGACCCGCATAGCCTGACATGTTGCCTGTTTGTTTGCGCATCCCCTGGCTCCTGAGCGCGCGCCAGTGGAGCACCAAGTCTCGGGGAGCAAGTTCGAGAAGTTCCCGGCTGAGTCGTTGTTGTGCTTTCAAGCTACTTCCGCTTTTGTTCTTTAACCTCCCACTGTCAGTCACGTCACTGACTGTACATCAAAGTCAAATGACGCTTGCAAGGAGCTTGTCCCAATGCGTGCTGTCTAGGACAGAATCCTCGAAGATTTTCCCTATTGTTCCATGCTGACGCAGCATGGGCTAAGGCACTCCGAGCCATGCTGTAGACCTCTAGGGGAAGCTGCCAATGGGCATCGCTTGGTATAGGACCTAGCAGTACCCTCATGCAGCCTCACCAAGGAATCATCCATTCCCGGGAACTCCACGTCCCTTTGTAATGCGTGTTGCTGAGATCGGTGTCGTGAGGTCCAAGTCGCGTGTTCAAGGTGGAACAGGTGGGCGTAAACGGTACGTACTATCGACAGAAGAAGAAGAAGACGGTGAGTCATGGTGGGCATTTAGGGACACTCTGCAAGATTCTCTGGAGGGGACAGACCCTCCAGAATTATCACTGGGGGACGGAGATCCAGGAGAATAGCTGAGTTAAAGTGCAGCCACTGAGAGTGGAACAGAAACCTCGCCGTACAAATGCAACAGTACGCCTCGCCCAATCCGCGTAACACTTGAAGAATAGCTTGCTCCAAGCTTGGACACCATCCCCTGAAATGCAGCTGCATGCATGCTGCACAGGGCGGCAGCTACGATTCACAAGCTGCGAACACAAGTTGTGTTTGTGTGATACCCTGTTTAGACAGCTCTCGTGACTGTTAGTCTCCCACACTTTTTCCTAGAAGTGCGAGAGTAAGCGTACCGAGGCAATGAGTATTTGCAAGGATGGGCGGCTCACGAGCGGCCAGCCCACCTGCAGGAGATTCTTGCGTGTATTGCAAGAACGTGTGCCGTCGCAGCTTCCTCACGGCAGGACTTGTTCTTATCAGGCCACGTGACTCCGGAAAAAGATGAGGCCGTCATCCTGACCCAGGCCACGCTGCCTTGTGGAGATTGTCGAGAGGGTCACCATGGGTCACAACAGCTTTTTTAAGTACAATGTGTGATGCCGATGCTTGTTGGAGTTGGTCGAGAGTGCGTTTTCTCCAAAGTTGTTGCACATGTGTTGTTTTTGCTCAGGCGGTTGTTAGCGGCCCTGGGTAAGACGCTAGTTTTGGCACTTCTTGGTGAAGCGTTTTCGCCTCTTTGTACAACATACTGCACAAGGATGTGGAACAAGAAAATCTGTCACAAGCGTCCATGCCTTTTGCGACCAAAACCGTGCTTAACGTCTCTGCGCAACCCCAAAGCCCTAAACTTGAACCACTGCAAGCCCGTCGCGCCCTGAACACTCCAGCCCCCAAAAAAACATGTTAAATACTGAAAACACTGCCGAGCGTGGCACTTTTCAACATAAGACCACATCGCAGTTACCCCGTTCCACCCTGAACACTCACAAAACACAAAACCCAAAAACGCGCAGAAATCGCAAAAACGTATCCCAAAATAAACACTGCGAAATGCTCAAAACACTGGCAAGCATGTACTTTTCAACAACACACCACATTACTTACAGTCACTCCAAGTCCAGGAAAGTAAAAGGCGGCAAAAAAACCTTTCAATGTGCGAACACTGCCCTGTGTGGGTTAAAACCACATTTCCTGGTGCAAACGGTCCAGGGCCGCTAACGGCCGCGTGACCTTGTTTTTGTCCTCGCTTTGTCATCGAGGTGTTTTTGTGTTTTTCGCCCTCCCCGTTTCTCGACGCTCGAGTTTTGTGCGTTCTGGATGCGACGGCTGTGTTTCTAGTCGAGTGTGCGTTTTTTGCCTATGACAGGCTGCCTTTGATTGCATATTTGTTTTTGATGGTGTTGTTCAAGCTTCTTGTTCCTGGTTGTTTCGAGTGGACGCCGTACATGCACGCCCACAAGTAAGATGCCTCTGCCAAGACTGAACCTCAAAACCCTACATTCCCTCCTTGTCGCGACCGATGTCAAGGTTGGATGCCGGAGGGGCGTCAGAGCGGTCTGCGCGGCGTGGGAAATTGAGGGATTTTCGTTGAATTGCAGCACAACTGTAATACCGGGAGGACACAGCCGGAAGGGTGAAAGCGGTCTGCGGTGCGGGAAGCTGAGAAATTTCGTTGATTTGAATGCAAATGTAGTACCGGGAGGACAATGAGGACAGAGCCGGAGGGGCGCGAGTCTGCGGCGCGTTTGCGGCGCGTGAAGCTGAGGGATTCTCGTTGAATTGCAGTACAAATCTAAAACCGGGAGCACAGAGCCGGAGGGGCGCGAGAGTCGCGAGAGCGCGTCTGCACATCAATGGCACGGGGATGGCGCGGCGCAGGGGGCCAGGAGAGCCGGAAGCGCGCGAGAGTGCATATGGGCGCGTCTGCGGCCCATGTGCGGAGCGTCATTGGCGAGGGTTCGGGGGGAAGCCGGGAGCATGTTCGTTGAATTGTATAGTACAAATGCGGTACTGGAATCGCTGTGTCCGTGAGCCGGGAATGAGCCGGAGGGGATCACGCGGGGTGTGAGATGAAGAATTGTATATTATCAACTACCCTGCATCACCTTTTTTCATCTTGTTCTATTCGTCGAGAAAATGTGCAGCATGCATACGGAGCGGACTTTAACTAATTCCGATTGTTTTTGGGTTCCTGGTTTGACCTCGTGTTTGTTAACTCACACTCTTCAACGACCTTCATGTGGACCTTGATGAAGTGTCCGCGACGACATCCACGAAATCCTTGAAGGGAAGAGATTCTGCAGCACAGAATTCTCTTGTGCCCTGCACTCCTCGTAGGCCAGGAGATCACCCCAAGCCGCCAGAACAAAGAAGTGCCGCCATGCCTTTGACGGACCTCTGGATAAGCAAAGTCTTCCACTTCTTGTATCAAGAGGAATCAGGAGCTGCATGTTGCCAGGGATCCCAGCCTTGAATTTTCTTTTGTGCTCAAAGTTGTCGACCCTGGCCGTATTGTCTTGCAGAGTGGCAAGCGCAGCGGGGAAGGAGAAGAACCAAGCTATGTAACAGTGTCAGCACGAAAGGACAAAAGGGAAACAAGGCACACGCAGAAATCAAGGCGGAACCCCTCCCGTTGCTTGTTTCTGGCCACCTCGAGCATCAGCGGCTTTCACCGGTATGGCAAGTTCCAGGCCGCGCGTAATGTCGGTCAAGCGTCGATGTGAAGATTTGCTTGAAGGCTTAACAAAAAATCGAGGGACCCATACCGGCAAGGTTGACGCCATTTAAAAGGTTCGTGTTAAGCAGAGACCCTAACGACAGACCAGCTTGAAGCCCACGCAGGAGAGTATGCTTCACCTTGGGCTGGCCAACAATAGGGATTGCAACGCCATGACATGTAACTGATATTTATCATTTGTCATGATTTAATTCCGACATCAACTGATGCATGCCGAAAGAAGCTTAATTAATGTTGCAGTGGTGCATGTCCACCTGCATTCGTATAGCGGGGGATGCTCTGCAGGCCTTATGGTGAGGGCTCAGAGTATCGCGTTGTAGATGGCTGAACCTTTTCTTTCCTTGTTTTTGGCATCGCCAGGTGCTGGCCGACATTATCAACACAGGAGCCATGGAAGAAAAGCCGTGAAGAGTTCCACAAGTTTGCAGTTCCGCAGGCTATGACAGTGGCTGGGTTGGAGCCCCTGTAGTTGAACAAGTCAATGGTGTTGCTGCCTTGACCTCGGATGTGGGCTTCCGTGCGTCGTTGGCTTTCACTGGCAACTGGCACATCAGGTACGAAACTTGGGACATCTCACCGAGTTGGTGCAGAACTGAGGACGGACTGAGGTTAGAAGCAGAAGGGTTTAGTGAATGAATGTGGCGGAAACACCCCAAACATTCCTCCCTCTTGGCGTTGGCGAGAAGTTGCGGGGGGAGGATGGACCGGGGAGGGGGGGTACTGATTCAATGAAGGCAATGAGAGTCGACAAACTGTTGCGTACTGTCGATGTAGGCCGGCAAGTGGTATCACGCCTCACACCTTCCCAGACCACCCACGCAGCCAGAAACCCTCAGTCCCAGGTCCCCCACTTTAGCCGGCTGCACCGCGAGAAACCGGAAAAACTTCTCAATTATTTGACTCCTCCCTGCTTTTCCTGGTCCCACTCTGTTTCCGACCTACCCTTCTTGATGACCCCTGCTGTCTTCTTCTGCGGCACATTCCTCGCCCCAATCTCATCCCTACTGTACCCTTGTACATTGTGAATTTAGCACCCGGCTCGCGCAACCCCAGGGCGGAAAGGATGTGTCTGCAAACCAGGTGCAAAGCGGCAAGCACCGTTTACATACCCTAACGCACACATTTGCAGGCTGCAGGCTCCGGTACCTGTTTTCCTGTCTTACATGTCTGGTTCAGGAGTTGCGGGTCTTCAGAAGGTTTGAAGAACCAGGAAGTTTCCTTGCCGCTACTTAAAACACAGATTACGGCAACCGTACAGCCTGCAAAAGCCAAGGCACATCTGAAACCGAGGCACAGCCACCTACTGAAGGTGATAATTAGATCCAAGGCACCTTGGCACCGACATTGTAATGTGGAGGCTTGGCGGAACCATACACAGCCATACTATCATAGGATGTCACGCATAACAAGCACAGAGAGTGTGGTATATATGCGCCCACGTTGCGCGTAGTTGACCCCCCTCCCCCCCCATGGTATCCCACCCCCCCACCCAACCCCTAAACCCTAAACCCCCTAAACATCCCCAAACCCTAAAACCGGCCTAAACCCTAAAACCTTAAACCCTAAAACCTTAAACCCTAAACCTAGCCCGCTTATGCCAGTGTGAGAGTCGAAACCCTAAACCTTGTGTGAGAGCCGAAACCCTAAGGAGCACAGGCTGCCTTCCATGTGATCAGGTAATATCAGGTAGCTTCTTTGGATGTGGTTCCTGATCTCATGCCACCTCCCCTTGCTGGTGAAGCATTGTAGTGCAATTGAAGTACTCCCATTTGTTTCGCTGGGTCCGAGGTCGCTGCATGCCGCCAGCGTCACCGACAACCTGTGCATTCAGGTAGCGCCTCAGCGTATGCCAGCACACTTCCCTAGCTGATGCCGCATCATTGAGCTGGACCCTCCGACCACAAGCGCAGAGTTGGCCCAAGCGAGTCGCGAACACCGAGAAAGCGAGACCGACCTTTATCCAGTTCTCACATTGCCGCAAACAGTGACCGGCATGTAGATACTGCGAAGATACGGATATTGGCCCAGACGCAATCGCATTTTACAGATGACCGAGTTCAAGCGCACAGCGCAAGCCGTGGATGAGACGCTGGGTCGCTAAAATACTCACAAAATATTGTACCATTGCGGCAGCCCAGATTTGCCCGACACGGTTGTTGGGGTAGCACCATCATGATTGATGGCCAAGGATTGAGACGATAGCGCAGTCACTACTTGATGGTGAGACGCAAGATCTCCAGCACTTGGGGGAACTTATTGGAAAGACAGGCTCCCGGCAACAGCCTGTTCGAAGTTGATGTCTTTAGTTGTTTGTCTCGAGGTCCTACAATGGAAAAGCTGAGCCGCAAGGCTGCTGAAACGGCTCCTTGATTGATTGTTAGTGATGTGTCACGATGATTCGATGATTGCTGCATATCAGTGATTGAACGGAGGACCCGGCGAGGCAAACTTACGGACCTCAAATGCGTGAAAAGATCATTGCGCTGGCCGACAGATGGACATCTGTCAACTACCCAGTCTGCATGAGGTCTTGCAAGATACACCAGTAGAAATGGCAGAAGCATGTGAAAGGTGTGTTTGAGCGTTACGAGGTCGGAGGTCTAGCTCGCGATGTCTTGGCAGCGAAGGGAGGCAGCGTTGTTGCAGCCATGGAGGCGAATCGCTGAATTTGGCCCCGACAAGTTTGCAACGCAGCTGCGAACATGCACAAAGCCAGGACACTACAGCTCCACCGCCCCCACGGCCGCAAACCTCTGTTCTGTGGCAGCCCCCTCAGGCACGTCTTTTCCCTTCATACAGCAAACGGTGACATCGCACTTTGGTCCAGAGTCTTCAGAGTCCCGAATGTCCCGAAGCAATCATCATCACCATCATCATCACCATCCCAGCTCAACTGAAAAATAAGATCTAAGAAGTCTGTGCTGGCCTGCGTAAACAACACTTACGAAGGACCGAATGAGTATGAAAAGTACCTCTGGGATGCATTCCATGATGTTGCGAGGCAGAAGCAGTGCCCAGTAGGCCAGCGAGCTCATCCACACCGGCGCACATGGCGGCGGCTCCAACGCAAAGGCAAAGAACATGCACTCTACGTGAGGTCGTAAGCCCGTATCCGAAGTAGTGCGGCGTTTATGCCATGCTGTTTGGATCTGTTTGGGGGAGGCTCTGAAAAAGGCCAAGGTCTCGAAATCTGCGGCGGTTGTGGACGGGATCCCGCTTAGCATTCTTTCTGGGCCTATTCCTCAGTGGTCTTCCATGCATCTGGTTTGGGCTTGGGGAGAGTTGTGCACAGCGTTCTCCTTTTGAACCCGACAGACGTCAGGGAAAAAGTTTTAAGAAAGGTTTTGCTCCTTCTTGAGCTGTGTGTGTGTGTGTGTGTGTGTGTGTGTGTGTGTGTGTGTGTGTGTGTGTGTGTGTGTGTGTGTGTGTGTGT